GAGAGGGGGGGGGGAGGGCGGGGATCCATCCTTGACACTTTCGGGGTTACATGGTACCAGGATGTTATCGTGCTCAAACATCTTTTGAGATTTTTCGAAGTTCGTCACTTCGGAAAAGATGACTTTTGGAACACGGAAATTTAAATCTCTGCGTGTATACTTCATTCTTTAGGGTTTCTGTGGGTTTTTAGGTAAAGTACCACGAGGGATTATTGGTAGGAGTTTATCGGTTGGGTTGGGCTGGATTTTGGTTGTGGAAATAGGTAATTCGTAAATGGTACCAGGTCGGCCATATCGAATCTGTATATACGGGGATGTTTGCTCAATAGATCACAACCCCCATAGTGAAAATGACTATAGCCAGTACCTCACACTGATATCTAATCTAGTGCCGAATAGGGAGGTTGGAGAGGGATGAAAATTGAAATGGTTAGAGAAATTTCAATTTTGAACTTTTGACCCTCGTTATTTTGAAGATAAAGGGAGAGTGCTAAGTCTGGTAAAGAATCGATTGTTTAAAAAATCAAAAATATTTTTTATAACGTAAAAATTGATTTTTCACAAATTTTTCCCCATTTTCGAATTCTTGATCTATCGATACGATCAGGACGGGGTAAAGAACAGTGGAAAAATTTATTCCTACAGGATACCAATGAGTCTAACGTGTCTCTGGTACTTACGGGGTGAAAGATTACGGAGATGACAGAAGCTGGGTACAAAAGTATTCCGGTGCCCTCGTGATCGATGTTTTGTATGATTTTTAATAAACACCGATCAGACAGCCAGATGTAGAGCGCGCCACTTGACTGGCTTTTTGAAAGTGCACTCGCAAGGGCTTACTGCGGAGCACTCGATACACAAAACTGACGGACAGGCTTTTGGCCTCGTGCTTCGAACATATTACGCGGCACGGAGAACCGAACAAAGCACTGCGCCATTGTTTTCCGCCGTCGATAATCCACTTGCTCCGACGTTAGCAGGAGAAGCCCCCAGTTGCTTGAATTCGGGAAAACTGAAGAGGAGTCAAGCGAGGCTTTATTATATTCTTGTATTAACAAAGGGAAAGAGAGATCCCTGAGGATTTATGAATTTAAAAAAAAAATCGAACAATAATTAACGACGATCGATCCAATTGATTTCTTGACCAATATAAACAACATTCAATATATATTTCCTTGGTATGAAATCGTCAAAGGAAACTCGTTGAAATGATTAAAGGAACCTTTGAATCGCGTCCCGACGGAAATCAGTTGCCGAGCATCTAACTCTCTCCAAGGATATATCCCTGTGGCTGCTAACTCCTGATTCCCGTCGTCCCCACGTCCTGGCCCTCTTTTCCCTAAACCACCCTAAAGGCCCCTCACCGGGCTCGCTGCTTCTAAACCCTCGAGCATTCGCATCCCTCTTGGCAAACATCAGCCAGCTCTCTCGCTACGCCGGAACAGAATCCCGGGAATATGTCGAACAGTCGAACCTTCGAACGTTCCAACGTTGAAATACTAGTCGATAGTGAAGTATAGATTTATAATGCAATATCCTCTTATCACTCTTTATATACAGGTAAACTCTCACAATTTACTTGAACGTACTTCCATGTAGTATCTACATACAATTGTACCCGTATTGGAATAAATTCACTATTTGACAGTCTGAGTTTATTTTTAATAATACAAAATTTTTTTATTTTCATTACAACTTTTTTTTCTATACTATGACAAAGAGGACAATTTTATCAGTAGAGTCTATACTATATGATTCCACTATGTAATACGACTACGGCTAGGAAGAATCGATGTTACTTTAATCTCAGGATACAAATAGTTAAAATTTGCTAGAGTTTACATTGCAGGACTGTAAAAGTTTTTTTACACTTTTTTTTTTTACTTTTGGTAATGGTAGTTTCCAGGAATCGAATAAACTAGTAGGCTATGCTAATCGAATAGACCAGAGTCGATATTCCTTTTAGCGCTATGTTCACAGGTTATTTAACGTTTGATATGACGGGTACGATTCGAATGAGCGATTGATGTAAAATGATTGAGAAATTCATAAAATTAAATAAAAATGGGTCATAGATTAATGACTATTTATAATTTGTTAAAAGCAGAGCAGATCGGACGCGACGGAGTCTCTGCTAAGAAAATTATCGATAGGGTGTGTGCTGAATATAATATAAATCTAGGCAAAGGTATACGTCGTCAAGTATTGACTGCTCTGCGACGAGGCGTTGATTATGGAATTCTAACGAAAACAAGAAATAAATATAGGTTTGATATTTTCTCTATTCTTTACCTCGTGCTTATTCCATACAATTCGATTTGCATATCTGATTTCATCAATGGCCTTGTCGAAGTCTAGGTTCGATCCGACATCCTCTATGGTGGCTGGTTGGAAAAGTCGAAAATCCAATAGACGCGTAAGACGTAAATCGAAAGTCAAGGCAAAAGCTAATAAGCGCAGAGAAAGAAAAAAAGAAGGACGTAAACGAGTGAGAAGTAATTCGGAACGTCGTGAAAAAGTTCCAAGACCAAGAGTACCACCCGCACCAACATGGACGGCAAAGAAACGAAATTTACTGGAGGAAGTCTTGCCAAAAGTGAGAAAATATTCTTCACCAAAATAATTTTCCCCAAATTTCAATTTGACGTATTACAAATTTAATGTGTATCAATTTCATTAAATTACATGCTATCGTATATCTCTTAAAGCATTATTTTACCTAGCAACAGATTTTCCCATAAAATCTACTTTCCGGTCTAGAATGGTCGATCCTGTTAAACGAGACTAAGGGATCGATGATCCTAATCCCAGGTTCTACCGAAGGGATGATCCTTACTGATTTCAGAGTAAAAGTTTCCGTCCAGCACACCCCCCATACTTCCTCTCAATGTATCGAAGACTCCGTATCTCATTCAGTAGCGATTTTCCAAAATTTTCTTCATCCACCGCAAAAGGTAGGAAGGAGCAAGGTACAATCGAGCGAACAATTTAACGTCGAGTTATCGAACCCTGTCGAATCCTAAAGGGAAACCCCAAAGACAAGTCGAAGTGACCAACGATGCAAGAGTCTGTACCTAAGCGGACAGAGCGTGAAACCGTTTCGAAATCGGCATGTCGAATTGGGAATTGGCGCACCTATAATCCCATGCATCCGGCACCTGTTATCGAAAGATTCGATTTCCCACAGAAAATTTATCAAGGTCGTCCCCCTACCCTCTCAGTGTCGTATAAAAAATTAATTGTCCTCAAAATTATTGATTTTAAACAGGAAAGGGTGAATTTTAAAACCTGAGTCCTGCCATGTAACATAGTTATGGGTTACGGTGGGTAGCGTCGCCTATCGCACGGTATCACGTCGCATCAATATTTCAACAGCAAATTGGCTCGTAAAGAGTTAACGCATTGTTGTCGCATTGTTAGCGCGACAATACCAAGAGGGTATCGACAGTGGGTCTGGGGCATTGTCGACAAATTGCATGTTGCGCGATACAATGCTCACTGGCTGTGGTGCCAGCACGATGACTAGCTTAGGGTAGGCTACCTACCGAAACGTCCCGATGCCTGTGCTGGGGGTTCGCTCCTATGACGTCCCGACGCCTCCCTGTTTATCCCCTTCGAAAGATTAAGCTAGCTAAAGTACAACCGTAAAATCACGTTGACCACCATATGTTCACCTCCGCAACAAATTAGAGGGTGGTGATCATCGTTTGGTGGCAGGAGGTGCGGCGGGAGGGAGGGTGTGCCGTTTTTACTTCCAATAACAAAAACCCGACTGCATACAATTAGCAGTGAGTCGAACGGAACAGGAAGTGACATGATCACTGATATAGACAATTTTAATTTTTTTTTTCGCAATTTTACCGAAAAAAATTATTCACGATTCCGAGATTATGGAATTTTTTTGCTTATTATTATTTTTTTTTCTTATAAGTCCCATTACTCCTTTTGCTCGCGAGAAACTTATAGATAAACGTGTACGAAACGTGTCTTTGTTTGGATTGGTCTGACGTAGCGTCGTGGCGTCAGAGCGTCGCAGCGACTAAATTTAACCATATCCGGGGCCCTTCTGGCTCTTCCATCCATTCCGGCCTATTGTCGGGCCAATCAGCCGGTATTAATACGGAGTATACTGATCTTGTCACATCGGTTGCTCTTTTGGTCGTCGCCTCTCCGTATCTTCCACCCAGGACTTTTGTGTAGTTCCAATTTTTCGTTTCTTTCCGAGAGAAAAGAAAAAAAAATATAAATGTGAATGAACCGGCCGATAAGGTTAAATGAGGAAGGCGCGTGCCGCAGCAGGTGTACTGGACGAGACAGAGGACATTTTTACTAGAGGTTCTTGTGGCTTCGATGGGTTTTGCTGTTTTGTCACACGATAAGACACGTGTCGCGGCACGACAGGGTCAACTTCCGGTCCAAGTGGTGCTCGTTCAAAGCGATTAGCTTATCGGGTTAGATCGATAAGCTTGCTCGATGATGTTCTTCGTTGTTAATGTCATTGGTGGCTATTGCAATGGTTAAAATAATTTTTTTCGAAATCATAAAAAATTTTATTCTCTTTGGATATAGTTTCATGGGATCGCGTAACAATAGAAAATAAACAATGCTGAAAAGGTCCTTGGGATATATGGGGTATATGGGTATAACGGGATAATTATGGCATACGTGTCTCCATAGGTCAATCGAGGGCTCAAGCTGTCCTGGACAATGACTAGACTTACATTGACTCGTGTCAAACCAATTAGGAGCATTATTGTCACGAGGGTGACTGGATGTCTGGCTGGTTGTATTGGGCGACTGGACTGTCTTTTTTTCGTTCCTCTATTGTCGTCAATGTGATATATTACTGAGGTGAAACTGTGAACTTTTCTGACTAGAGAAAAAAAAATATAGTCTTGGCCAATTCTCTCTTTTTTTTTTTTTTTCATTATCTTCTTTCTTCCATTATTTACGAAAATTCATTTGTTACGTATGCCTTCGGACCCCTTTGAAAATAGAATAAAGATAGAGAGCGACCAGTTATGTGGTCGTCATTTTATTAGAGATTTTCGTACAAAATAACATTTTTTCATTTACGATTCTCACCAGGAAATGTTACGGACATAACGAAAAGATCCTACGCGTGTGATGTTGACGGTTACGAGGGGTCTTATCTGCACGCGTTATCATTCTCAAGATTAGCCTTAGTCAGACGTTTGCTCTGGCTCTGCCGCTCTTGTGTCCCGAGCTTTTTGTGTACTTTGTGCATACCTAACTTTTTACCGTACAACCTTCTTACCCTATACCTTGACTATATACAAAGTAAGTTCCTCTTCCTCTAAATACTTTTAACCTTTAACCTCCTCCCATATGGGCAAGACAACTACTGTAAAGACCCAAGTCCCGAACTTTTAAATTCCTTTGAACTTCCCGCCAAAGTCAAGGAATTTATTATATTTCGAAAAAAAAAAAAAAAATCTTCGATTCGCAATCAATCAACTTCAAAATGAAATATTGGAGTTGGATCAAGCAAGAACAGTCTTTCGTTTGAGTAATCACTCAAATTTCCATATCTAAAAATATACTGTCACGTCACAATTAAAGAACGATAATTTCTTACTAGACTTTCGTATACGGAACACGATAACGTAATCCCAAGTGAATGAGCCCGAGTAAGTTGAACCAAGAAATGCATTCGATCGCGTAACGCAGTTCTGAGCGACATTGCGAGACCGAATAAAAGGGGAGTACAGCATTTGGTACGAAGGTCTGGCGCGCTTTTTCGAAAAGCTCTTCGGCGCGCCACACAAGTACCACCACGGGATTACGAACCATTATGGGGCGATCTACCGTAAAATAGAAAGAGCCCATGAACCGATGAATACTTGGGGCACACTTGACGTTCGGTTTCCTCCCGTCCAGAGCTGCCGACGCCAGTGCGGTTTCCCAGTACATCCGACCCGTAAAAAGTCCCTAGTCCCTGAACCATGTGATGTCGAAAGAATAAAAAAAAAGACTGGGCGATTTCCAAAAAGTTATATATATACCATAAAAAAATGACAGGGAACGAAGACGGCTCAAGTCCTCGGCGTTACCGATGGCGCGAGTCAATCTGTGTTCTTTGGACAATTATTTGAGGTTGGTATCAGTGCGTCAAGTGGGTATACATGTATACATATACTGTACGTATAGAAAGATCCGTAGTATACATCGCAGTCAGTGGATTCAAGCTGTAACCTCGTGGCACTAGAACTAAGGGGTTGGTTGAAATCAGGGGTGGCGCCGGGGGGAGTGGCGGCGGTGACGTTCGCGAGTGTCTATACGGCTCATTCCGAGCGAAGGTGTAAGTTGGGTAAGAGGGTTCTTCGGGAGACGGCGTTATTGGCAAGACTGACGACAGCTGGAGAGAGAGAGAGAGAGAGAGAGAGAGAGATAGATAGAGAGAGGGGGTGGAAGCGAAGACCAAGAGAGTGAGCGGGATTGATTGGGGTGTGTAAGAGGTGCCATGAGGAGAAAGAGAGAGTATGAGAATGAGGATGAGTAAGTACGAGAGGAGTGAGAGGGGAGAGAATGCCAGAGGGAGAGAGACCAAGAGAAAGAGACACGGATCATGGATAGTCTTTGCCAAACACCAATATTTGCGACCGCCCTGTTGGTACCCCTGCTCGACTCGACCCGACTCAACTCTCGAATGATCCAGCCGCAACCAACCCCCAATCTCCCGATGGTCCCACGAAAGTCCGTTCGCCGGTACCCCAGAAAAAAGTGCGATCTCTTTAATTTTTATTGACCACGATTCAACGGTTTATCTTTCAAACTACCCCTAATCCGAGTATGTACTCTGCACTGCGATTGGTACCACTGGTAGCAGTTTGGTACCGCTTACCGGGTACCAATAAATATATATATATATATTTTAATGAAATTATTTATCATATTCAAACTATCGGAAATTACTCTACCGTTACTTACGGTAAAAAGTAGAAAAACACGTGGGTAGGCCGGTCACGTGACTTACGTCAGGGGAGAGTTCAATTTACGACCTGACGGCGTCCTTCGAGTTCATCTATTTCGACTGGAGTTCAATGAAGTTGAGCGAGTTATTACGGGGATTGGGAGTGGCGCTGGCGTCGTAACCGGGACTCTCGTGGCCTCCAGCCAGTCCCGCTTTACGTAATAAATAATAATTACGCGCTAATTAGCAGCGGCCATGTTGCCGGCCTGGGGTTTAATCACGTCACACAGTAACACACCCCTTTGTCGTGTTGCCTTCGTTTTCGTACTAATACCGGCGGAGTTGCCAACACTGATACTGGTACCTAGTATTACCGTCACTGCTACCACCGTTACCGTCATCGTAGTCGTTGCCAGTCTCGTACTAGTCAGTAGTTACGTCCTGCTGGTATCATCCCTGGTGCAGACCTGATGCATGACTGCTATGTGGATATATAGCTATATCCCATATGCTAACAAAGTTCATATATATATATATATATTCACCATTTATATAGAATGACCATGTTGACGATAACGTAGGGGTTGGCTCTTGTGATTTTACTTTAATTCACCTAACCTAACCTGTTCGACGCGAACGACTATACGTCTTCTTGAATTTATGTGGACTAGATCGTTCCTGAGGTGATCCGTGTCCTTTGACCCTGGTTCACACGTGATATAGAAGATC